TCTGTGCAATACTTCATTGTGAACCCTCCAAACATTCTAACATGGTTTCCAGACATGTTTCCTAGCACCATGGACCAACTAGATTGCTGCCAATAAGCTGCTTCTCTGTTGAAATTCTGGATTTGTCTCTGCTCTCAAATCTACCAATCATAACATAAATGCAAGAAAATTCAAAGGAGGTCTAATTTTCCCCATAATGATTATGATGGTATTGAAAAATATCAAAAACTAAATATTTTCAAAATTTTTTTCTCATTTTTTTGATGCCCCTATTTTCTGGTTCTAAAAATAGGTGCTTTGTTTAGCCCTTCACTAGTGCAGCTCTGGTTAAAATATATCTAATGAGAAATAATCTATTGCCTCTTCCTTTAGAAAATATTAGACTCACTGAATGATGTATCAAAATGGATCTAAATACGTCCCAAATGCCTTATCCCTATATCAAATAATTGATTGTCATAAAGTCCAGTTTGACTCAAAGTACCTTTGCAATATGGCATTACTTAAAACAAAGCAGTGCTCTATAAATACCTAAAGCGGGATGGCACTCAGCAGCAGGGGAGCCCTGGAAAAATTCAAAACCACAGGTGTTCTACTCAAAACGGTGACAGCCCCAAGCTGAGCCCTCATCTGGACTCTGACAAAAGCCTATTTTACCATCAGCTGAAGCTGCTAGGCTTACAATAGAGTAGGCGGGACCAAGGCAAACCTGTAGCTTGAATGGCTCACAAAATTGGCTTTCTTCGCATATCAGAAATTCAATGTGTTCCTTCTAAATTGACATCCAGTCTCCTTATGCTGCCAGTTCCCAATTATTCAACAGCTGATGATCCAGTGTAGGGGGTAGCCAGGTCTCTTACATTTCCTTTAGCCTATCACATTTGCTGCCTGCTAGAAATCCCTCCTCCCCACCGGTCACTGCTGGGCAGTGGGACGGTTGTAACTCTAAGCTAGTGATTCTCAGTGGAGGGCTATTTCACCCGAAAGGACATTTGGCAATGTCTGGAGATATTTTTGATTGTTAGAACTTGGGGTTGGGGATGCTACTGGTATCTTGTTGGTAGAGCCCAGGGATGTTGCTCAGTGTCCCAGGAGGCACAGGACAGTCGTCCACAACAAAGAATCATCCAAATGTCAGTAATTCTGAGATTGAGAAACTGTGCCCTAAACAATAAAGTTGATGGGAAAAATAGCATAATAACTGTAGAGTGTGATCTTTGTCATCTGAGAGGGATTGAATCCAAGGCCTGACACTTATTACCTATGTGTTTCTTGCTTAAGCCTTCATTTGCTGTCCTCTAAAATGAAAATAATTCCATGACATTGTGGATTATTTTCAATGGATAAGTGAAATAATGCTTGCATATTGTTCTGTAGTGTTTGTCAACAGTAAGCATTTAGAAATGGTACTTGTAATGTAATATATTAATAATATAAAATAATATATTAAAGTGTAATGTAACATAATCATAAAGCTTTTTGTTCCCCTCTTTGCCTGCCTCCTCCACCAAATCTTGGAAATTATTTAGATTTTCTTTCATTTGTTGAGTCAGCATGTGTTTATTAAGCATATGCTATGTTCTATGCACTTGGTAGGCATTGTGGAGCACTCGTACATGAGAATAATGTGCCCTCTGCCATTAGGGAGCTTTCATGCCAGGAAAGGGGATAAATCAAAACAGAAATAATTATACTTACAAGAGAGAACAGAACAGCGACAAGAGTTATAATAGCTAAGTAGACAGAAAAGTGGATAAGGGCTGGGACAATCAGTGATGTTAGGAGGTACATGAATTTGGTATCAAAAGATGTGAAGGAAAGACAGGGTGGCAAGTGGATGTTCTTCCAGGCAACAAAAAAATAAAGTGTAGGTGAGTCGTGAGAATGGAAGCAAACATATGTTGCAAATAGTTGAAAAATATAGCAAGAGCTAAGATTTGCTGAGCAAATAAATATATGTATATATGCGTGTATGTATCTATATATTATGTATTATCTCAAATTCTCTAAAAAAACAGGAGAAACTTACTTATGAGGTAAGTCATAGTTGTCCCTACCTTGAAAGATAGTCACTTGAAGCTTAGGGAGAATTAGAATCTGTGAGACCTATGTTTATGTCATAGAATCTATGTCTGTGTCAAGCAAATAGTAGATATGGAATTGTTAACTAGGCATTTCTGACTCTCCTGTTCTCTTATCTCCTGGGAAACGCCCTATAGAGATTGTTTGGGTAAGCAGATGAGGAAAAGGGATATCCTATTGTAAGGGTCTTTAACTTTAGACTAATGCCATTTTACTTAAATTTTTCGTGGATTTTTGGTTCTGAATGATGTCTCTTAACCCTGGACACTGGTAATTTGACAAGATTCATTAAGTCTTTTGTGATAATGTGACGGTGCCCAGAGATGCACAAATATCTTTTCTCCACACATTTCTAAAGAAAAGATTGAGAATAAACAATGCCTTTCATTTTTATGGTACTTTATGTCTTACAGTCATATTTTTGTCCCAATGAACTAAGCATGTCTGTCCTCCTTTTGCCTAAAATAGAAAGAAAAAGCAGGTTTCGTACAGGTAATTCATGCTATTAAAAGTCAAGATGCATCTAGAAAGAAAACCTACTCTGGAGGCTTGCCCTCTTTCTTCTCCATCATGATCCTTAGAAATTTTACTAGAGGAAAGTATTTTAGTGCTCCATGTATGTGGGAGGAGAATGATTCTCTTTGGAGGATAAAACAGTGACACATTTTACTCTTTCAGTTAGAGAATATTTTAATAACATATTTTATGGATGAAAATTCAAATTAGAATCTAAGAAACATGATAGCATACTCTTGAAAGTCAGTGCTTTGTTTATTCTGTTAGAGAGGCAGCAAGCATTGAGACCAAAGTACTGTTACTCTGGTCCTATCCACACATAGTCTGGTGACTCTGGGCACAGTAGTCCTCAGCTGTCATCTATTTTTAATAGAAAATGTCACTTATTTCCTCTCTAAGATCAGCATACTAGGCCCTCTAATATTTTAAACAGTCTTCTATCTCCAAGACCTATGAATTATTTAATTCTGTCCACAGTGCCTACCACAGTTCCAGGCCAAGAGATAAGAAAGATATTCTTTGCTTGAAATTTACTATGGTTATGTCAAATCAGGCTTGACTATACTATTCATTTTTGTTTCTGGTGAAGAAATAGATTTACCATAGCCCTTAAAAACACACTGAGCTTAAACTCTCTCTGATGACTATTATTATTTAGATAGTAACTTCTACAGCAAATCAAATAGGAAAACTCAGGAGGGAAATAAAGAAAGAAGTTCTTGGGGTTGTTGTTCCTGCAGTCCAAATGTCACCACATCGGCAGGTCATTTTGGTCCTGTGGCTCAACCAGCACAGGGGAGGCAGCTGTCGTATCCTGTTGCCGCAGGGTTGCTGGCTGAAGCCACAGGAGTTTGCCCACGTGAGTAACACACCCTGCCAGGCAGCAAAGTGGTAATTTTGCTGCCAGAGAGGAAACAAGGCCATTTTACAAGATCAGGGGTAATGTACAGCAAGTGTTTGAAGTCAGAGACCCAGCAAGGACAACCTGGCCCCAAGGAGAGTGATTGTTATAGGATGTGGACAAGAAAAGATAGAAATCAGAGGAAGGCCCCCTAGACTCCAACAGCATGAAAGGAGTCTAAATCAAACAGAATCAGAGTCTCTGAACTAGGCCCAACACTTTAGAGGAAAGATGAGAAAATGTTGGGATGAAGCAAGCACTGAAATTGACCAGTGGAATTTATTGCTACCAGTGCAACCCCGGACAAGGCATTTGCCATATCTGGATCCTAGCCTTCTTGTCTGTCAGTTAAGGTGTAAAAACACCCCTTTCAAGACTAAAGTTGATTGTTGTATGATTTCAGTGGAATGGAAAGTCTAATGATAGAAAAGAACATAATAATTCTGACATTAGTAAATGAGTCATTTTTGGTGACGTAAGATGCAGGGAGACCAGTGACGAAGTTCTGAATGGGAATTAGGAAGTTCTCAATATAGAACTTCTGGGCTCTTAAGAGGCAGGTATATTTCAAGGCATGAACATTCATTCTACTTAATTTAAGAATATTTATTCTTTGTCACTGGCCTTGGACATATACGGGCTAATTTTTTTTTTTTTTTTTTGTATATATCTCAGCTAGTTCAAATTTATGAGTGTGTGAAGATAAGAATGTAGACTGGGCATATGTACACAAGAGTGAGATCAGGGGACCAAGTTGTGATTTTCTGATATTAACTAATTATCGACGTATTCCAAATTGGCATCCCCTCCCCTCCCCAACACACCATTGCCTGCATGCATTGCCCTACAAGCTTATGCATAACCACGAGTGGATATACCTCTGCAACCTGGTGCATTCTTCCTAAGGGTCCAATGCTCAATACAGTTTCTGGGCCATGGACCATGCTAGGCATCAATTGCTGATGTATTGAATTACAGGATGTTGAATGAGAGGGAGCAAATTAATTCTTTTAAAATGTGTTGAACCTTTTTTTGGAAAAGAGGAACTATCAAACATAAGAATTTTTGGGCCGGGTGCGGTGGCTCACGCCTGTAATCCTAGCTCTCTGGGAGGCCGAGGCGGGCGGATTGTTTGAGCTCAGGAGTTCGAGACCA